TATGATTGCTTTTAATAACTATAGTGGTCCTCAAAAAAGCTTTTTTTTTAAACTCTGACAATAAACTCTTACATTAGAAATTCTCCAGAATCATTTTATTGACGACGACACTTAGCATATGTTTGGGGCAGCTGTAGCTTATCCAGATAAGTAACTTATTTAGATAAGCAGCTTATCCTAACAAGCTATTAATTCAGATAAGCTGGCTAGTTGTTTGAAGCAGCTGTTTGAAAACAACTGATTTGCAACTGTTTGTGGATAAATGATCATTCTGCCCCAATTAAGTAATGTTGTCTGCAACATAACTATTTTGACAGAAACAAAACATGTAGAGGAAGATCAACCTGGGAAAGAAGCTCGAAGGAGTGGTTGGGGAGAAGGGCCAGCAAAGGCGGAGAGCGCCGTCTCGCTCTGGTTAGAAGAAATCCTTCTCATGAGATCCAACACCGCTTCCATCAGACCCTGTCTAATCTACCAAAATGTTACTTCTCACCGAACCCCTCGGTAAGAAAATCGAAAAAGAAAATGTAAGAGAAGAGGATTCAACGATATGATTTGCTCTTCGCTAAAATTGGAGTCTCCTCCCACTGCAGAAAAAGGGTGCTCTGCGTCTATCTCATATATGAGCAACTAAGGGATAGGTGAGGGAGAGAGGCGGAGGAGAACAGACAACTGCAGTCGAGAGAGAAGGAGAGGGGCACATGAGGTATTGAACTGAACAAAAATGGGAAGACGCATGACACGGGGTAGATCCCGCTTCCCACATCTAATATAAACATGAAACGTCGTTTCCAAATACACTGGACAAACGCGCGAATCAAAGTCCAGGCCGGTGTTTTCAAAACACCAAACACAGATTTAAGCTGCGCTCGAACTATTAATTTGGGGAAAAAAAGCTTTAGCATTTTTTTTCATAATTAAGGCGCTATATAAATTCATTGATTTTTTTTTTCTTTTTTTCTTTCCTTTCATAAAAACTATTAATTTGGGGAAAAAAAGCTTTAGCATTTTTATCATAATTAAGGCTATATAAATTCATTAATTTTTTTTTTTCTTTTTTTCTTTCCTTTCATAAAACATTCAAATTTTCACAGCTCGAGGGTGCAGTTAAAAACAAATTATTTTATTTATCAAACGTAGCTTATGAACAATTGAAATAAAACATTTTTGGCTTGAATTAATTGGACGTGTACCAATATCCAGCTGCTTAGCCTAAACTACGGGAAACACATCTGCTGATTAGAAACAAGAACTTTATATCTTCCAAATGAATCCATAAGGCCGGCTAAGACTAGACCAATTTCTTATTTCATAAAAGGCATCGGAACGATTGTCTGAAAAGTAATGGAGTGGTGATAGACGACTATAATGGCCAAATTTTAACACTGTTTTGCGCTGAATTAGGTGATGATCAAAGTGGACAATAGTGGACAATTGTTCTCCTAAATTTTGAAATTTTGGAGAAAGTTGATTAGATCTCGCTAAGAAGATGTAAAAGGACAAGATCGAGATCAATGAAAGACGGAGGCATCAAGTGTTGTTTCATTCTGCCGGAATCGTGGGCCGACCAAAAGAAAGTGCAGCTGAATGAAATAGCATTATGTACCTGATTTGAGGGACGGACATGTACTCAAGTGATTTTAGGATTCTTCACAAGATTACGAATTGTCGTCTCATAATTTTTTTTTATTATCTTTTATGAAGACGTATGTTTTGAAAGAGAGTTGCCCATTAGATTATAATAATGCACAATCTGTATGATGGACAAATTCACTCTAACGATAAGAAGATCAATATAGAGGGTTCTCTTGAAAAAACAGATCAAAGACCTTCCAGCAGACTGAACGATTATTAGACGACTGAATGCTAATATCAGTGAATCACTAATACCCCAATTCAATAGTTATGAATATGAAATGGTGTCATTGGTGATTACAAATATAAAACAATCCTTGAGTCATTTATAAATATGTAAAGGTGTAATAGAGCATTTATCACTCGTAGCATTCCGATTAAAACAACGAGAAATATGTAACCTACCACATAGCCTCTATGATCTATAAATAGAGGAGTTGTTTTTCTCTCACTTTCTCTCTTTGTTCCATATATCCGTACAACACTCCATTTCTTGGGTGTGATCCATATGACATTTTTGGATTCAATATCCTAAAAGGTGTTGTGACGCAGAGCCCTGTCATCAACAAGAAGTGATGCGCACCATCGAAAAGGAACATACTTGGGAGAAACCTTGACCATGGAGTCTGATCAAGAATTTGTGCAATAACAAATTTAGGAACTCCAAAACTGAATAGCGAGACAAATAGCAGATCTGATCCACAATGTACTTACATTCTTTGTATTGTGCCCATGATTCCGGTGGTAGTCGTAATACTTATTTAGATTTCAGAGAGTAGGTTTAGCCTTTATTTGCGGGGCTTTTCTATAATACTCTTTATTTTGTATGGTTGCCAGTAGTTCAACCATCAAAATATTTAGTGGGGTTAAACTCTGCATCTCTAGGTATACATGTTGTCGCTTGTAATACAAAGACGGCCACAAGTCGGAACTCCGATTTTAACCCTGATGGCTCTGATTCTTCCTCGATCTTTGGGTGTTGTTGCGGTGTTGCTGACCGGAGGGATTCTGATTGTCCCTCGACCTCTATCTTTTATCCCAAGCCTTCCACTTTTTTCGATCGCAAGTCGATTGACGCCAACTTGGCCAGGGTAGAGTGTAAGAAGGATTTTTCACCAGAGATATGACTGTTGGCATTGTCTAACGGGACTTTGGTTCAAGTACATTCAAATCATACTTGAAACGTTCATCTTTAATCCCTTGTGCCAGAGAAGTCTAAGCTATCAACATTCAAAAATCTTGCACTTCTAATATTTCTTTTTGAAAACGAGTGATGTACGACTATAACTTTTGTTCTCCCCATGCTTCACAAAAAGTTTTTTGAACTCAGCAAATGTCAGAATGAACCCGACTGGCAGAGCATGGAACCAATGAAGAGTTGATTCCTTGTGTGTCATCAAGAGAAGCGACACTTTATGGCGTTGTCGATCTCTAGGATACCGACCAACAATTCTAAAGACGACAAGTGGTTTATCGGATCACTCTTTC